AAAAAAAAAAGAAAATGCAGGTATCTGATGTACATCCTCAAAGGAATCCAGAATTGCTTTGTTCCTAGGAAAAAAAAATTTTTTAATTCCATGTGTTATGAATTTGTATTTCTTGATTTACACGTAAATTCTCCCGTGTTGAGCAGTGTGGCAAAGGTGACCCCTTTTAGCTGCAACAAGTGTTCCTTGACCCCTTCCCAAGGCATCCTGCCTTCCCTCTGGTTCCAGGTCCGCAGCACTTACGCCGGCTGCCCTGTAGTCCTCTGAGGGGTGATTCCAGTGGGTCCCCTTGCTGGCAGGCAGAGCAGGCTTTGCTATGCTTCTGCCCCTGTCTCCTTGCTGCCCCTGGCCTCCTGGGGGATTGTCGTCACACAGCATAGGTGCGAGGGGAGAGGGGGTGACCTAAGTCTAATGAGTTTGGAAAGAGTGAGCCAAGGGGAAACACTGTTACTGTCACAGGTCATCCCCACTACTCACCCCTCGCTGATGAGGAGATGTGGAGAGTCCTCTGTGCTCTGTGGCAGAGGGCACAGAAGGAAGATGCCTGTGCCCTTGGGGGTGTACCGCCTCCAGTGGTGAGGAGCTCCCGCCTGCCTGCTGCTTTAGAGGCCCCTCTTCCTGTTGAGAAGAGGTGTTGGAGGGAGTCCGCACCAGACTTTCCCCTTGCAGAATGGTTTTCTCTACTTCCTGCTCTTGGTAGCGCTTTGAGCTCTGCATTCACCTCCAGCTTGATTCCCTAGAACCTTACTCACCAGACTCCTCAAGACACCAGGTTTTCTTGCTGATAGAAATTGTAGCCAGTAGTCAGAGGGGGCAGTTCACTTTCGAGAAGCCCTGAAGGTCCCCAGAGTGCAAGGCTTTCCCGGGGTGTCTGCTCACCTCCCCGGGGGTCAGGAGTGGAAGGAAGCGTTGTGGCAGCCGGGTACAGGGGCGGGGCAGACATAATAATTCCTCCAGAGCCAGATGTCAGCCTGGGCAGGAGCCACAAGCAGGGCATGGCCAGGCTGAACAAGAGCAAAGAGCAGGAAGAGCGTGTTCACTCCTACAGAGGAATGTGAGGGAACATCAAAACAAAAAAGAGAGACACACATGAAATCATCAAGGGACAAGCCAAGGGAAACAGCCGAAGAGGAGACAAAGGCAAAATGTCTAAGAGAACACTTCACAAGAAAACAAGATCCTGTTATGAAGTTATTTAAATTATTGGCAAAGCCAGGCTCAGGGCAGGCTTACCTAAACTCTCTTCATTTCTAGTGCTGTGTAATAATAATACTGAGACATTGCAAGATCCCGCTTTATTGAAGGCAGATTATAGGGGGCCTGTAACACTATTGACTAAGGCAGGAAGGCAAACTAATTCGTTTTAGAAATAATTTTGGTGCAGATGGGGAACAAGGGGATTGTGATAGTTAAAGAATTAAGTCTTAGTTGACTAAAAAGTGTACTTAAAAAATTCTGTGACTTCTATTTAATGGACAATTAACAAGTCTCTTGGTACAATATTGCCCTCTTCTGGACAATCCTAAAAATGTTCAAAATTCTAGAATCTCTTTTCCCTAATCTCCATCATCAGTCAGAAATGAACTTGGAGTAGTAGGCAGGGAATGGAATTAAGTGGCAAAAGGGATGACTTGGGGAGTTAAGGACCAAAAAGGTTATTTGGGTGTGCCTTTTTCTGAATTACATGCAAAGTCCTTGCCACCCATCTATCAAAAAATACAAATGTAGATGCATTATTTTTTTTTAAGTAAAACGTTTAAAACTCATAACATCAAACTAAACCAAGAGACAGACAGATATAAAAACACCAAGAATTTAAATATTTCTAGGGGCCTCTGGGTGGCTCAGGTAGTTAGTTAAGTGTCCAACTCCCGATTTTGGCTCAGGTCACGATCCCAGAGTCGAGGAATGGATCCCCATGTTGGGCTGAGTGTGGAGCCTGCTTAAGATTCTTTGTCTCCTCATCCCCAAAGGCAAGGGAATTAAAAGCAAAAATGAACTACTGGGACCTTATGAAGATAAAAAGCTTCTGCACAGCAAAGGAAACAACCAACAAAACTAAAAGGCAACCAACGGAATGGGAAAAGATATTTGCAAATGACATATCGGACAAAG